CATTCCCTCTCACCTTCCCCTGTTTCCCCTCCACTGTAAGAGACTTTTCTTTTCTGTTTTTTTTGTGAGATAATTTACCCCATTCTACCTCTCCCTTTCTTCTTCTCCGAGTATAATCCTCTCTCATCCCTTAATTTTATTCTCCAGATATGACCCCTTAATCTTCAACTCACCCTGTGCCCTCTATCTATCTATCTATCTACATATACATACATATAATTTTTTTCCTCCAACTACCCTAATACTGACAAAGGTCTCATGAGTTATAAATATCATCTTTCCATGCAGGAATGTAAACAGTTCAATCTTAATAAGTCTCTTATGATTTCTCTTTCCTGTTTACCTCTTCATGTTCCACTTGAGTCCTGTATTTGAAAGTCAAATTTTCTATTCAGCTCTGGTCTTTTCATCAAGAATGCTTGAAAGTCCTCTATTTCACTGAATGACCATTTTTTCCCCTGAAGGATTATACTCAGTTTTGCTGGGTAGGTGATTCTTGGTTGTAATCCTATCTCCTTTGCCCTCCAGAATATTATATTCCATGCCCTGCGGTCCTTTAATGTAGAAGCTGCTAAATCTTGTGTTATCCTGATTGTGTTTCCACAGTACTTGAATTGTTTCCTTCTGGCAGCTTGTAATATTTTCTCCTTGACCTGGGAACTCTGGAATTTGGCTACAATATTCCTAGGAGTTTTCCTTTGGGGATCTCTTTCAGGAGGAGATCTGTGGATTCTTTCAATTTCTATTTTGCCCTCTGGTTCTACTATATCAGGGCAGTTTTCCTTGATAATTTCTTGAAAGATGATGTCTAGGCTTTTTTTTGATCATGGCTTTCAGATAGTCCAATAATTTTTAAATTCTCTCTCCTGGATCTATTTTCCAGGTCAGTTGTTTTTCCAATGAGATATTTCACATTGTTTTCTAATTTTTCATTCTTTTGGATTTGTTTACAGTGTTTGATTTCTCATAAAGTCACTAGCTTCCAATTGCTCTATTCTAATTTTTAAGGAAGTATTTTCTTCAGTAATCTTTTGGACTTCCTTTTCCATTTGGCCAATTTTTCTTTTTAGGGCATTTTTCTCCTCATTGGCTTTTTGGACCTCTTTTGCCATTTGGGTTAGGCTATTTTTTAAGGTGTTATTTTCTTCAGTATTTTTTTGGGTCTCCTTTAGCAAGCTGTTGACTTGTTTTTCATGATTTTCTTGCATCACTCTCAGTTTTTCCTCTACTTCCCTTACTTGCTTCTCAAGATCCCTTTTGAGCTCTTCCAAGGCCTGGGACTGATTCATATTTTTCTTGGAGGCTTTGGATGTAGGAGCTTTGACTTTGTTGTCTTCTTCTGGTGTATATTTTGATCTTTTTTTCACCAAAGTAAGATAATATAGTCTGACTCTTTTTGCACTGCTTGCTCATGATCCTGGCTGATTACTTGAGTTTTAAACACTTCCAGTGTGGAGAATGTACTGTCCCAAGTTTCAGGGGATTTGTACAGCTGTTTTCAGAGATACTTGCAGGGACATGTAAATTTTCAGTTCTTCTAAGGTGGTATGATAAGGGGCGAGGTGTTTACTGCTTTCCTGGCCTGTGACACAAGTACTCCTTTCTGTCCTGTAACTGTGAGGAGGGTTCTCTCCACAGCCACTACAAGCTCCACCACGCCAGTGCTCCTCCTCACCCCAGCACTGCCACCCAGAACTGTGACCCAGATCCAAACACGGGCAAAGCAAGAGATTCCTGCCTCAGCACTGGCAAAGAGATCCCTGCAATCCTTCTCTGATCAGCCACTGGATTCCCCCTCAGTCTGCAGGCCGGAAGCTCGGGAAGCAGCTTCCCCCCCCCAGGGCCATGCTCTTGGGGAATGGAACTGAGACTCCACCTTCCCTTCTCAGCACCGACAGAAACAGACTTTTCCCACTGACCTTCTAAGTTGTCTTTGGCATTGGTGGATTGAGGAGTCTGGAAACCTCCACAGCTGCTGGAGATTCAGTCCTCTGAGGCCTGCTCCAGGTTTGCTGTGGCCTGCGCGCCCACACCCTGCACTCCCAGCTGGGTGCGATACACCTTTCTGATCAATCATCCAGGTTGTCTTGGTCTGGAAATGTGTTTCACTCTGTCTTTTTGTGGGTTCTGCTGCTTCAGAACTTGCTTAGAGACATTTTTTATGAATATTTGGAGGGGTTTAGAGGGGAGCTCAAGCAAGTCACTGCTTTTACTCCACCATCTTGGCTCCACCCCTCAGTTGATTGTCTCTTACCCTGACATGGGAGCATACCCCAAGGCTTTCCAACTCAGTATGATCTGCCAGAATAAATGTTCCTCTGGCATAAACTTCATGAATTCAAGGTCACTTCTGCTTCCCAATAAGGCACCAGAATGGTGAATGTGTTATAATTATAATCAAACCTTATTTTTGTAATTCTTTACAATTTCCAAAACACCAGTAACTCAACCGAGTACTCCCTGCCTCTTGTCTTATGCCACAGAGCCTCTTCTTGTGAATTGGTTGATATAGCTATTTGTCTATAAGGTCATTCACTCCCCTCCCTCATCTAGTCCTTTAGTTTAGGAAAGGGAGCAGAATATCTAGAAGCAAGGACATCAGACTTGGAAACAGGATACCTTGGTTCTATTGCATTTCCTTCTTGGAGAATCTTACTTCCAAGCAGAACTCAGGAGTTACCTCAGCCTGTAGATATTTCCTGATCTTATAAATTGCTAGTTCTCCCTGTCTGTCTGTCTCTGTCTCTCTGCCTCTCTGTCTCTGTCTCTCTGTCTGTCTGTCTGTCTCTCTTTCTCTTCCCTCCTCTCCTTCCCTCTCCCCATCCCCACCTCAATTCCTTTGTATTCTTTGTAATTTGCTTCTAACCTGGCCTCGACAGCTATCATCTGGGGAAACAATTCTTGTGGATAGGGGCTACCTATCCTAGCAACTACCAGCCAACTGCCTCCACCAAGATAGGCAAGCCAGACTAGCAGGAGCAACAAGATGCCCTGAAGAAGAGATAGGAAGAGGCACATGCCAGTTAAGTCAAACCACCACCATCATATTGAATATTACCTTCCATCAAACTCCAATGGAGACAGCCCATGACCCTCAACCCAAGAGACTTGGCAATGAAACACTTCTCAGGCCAACAGACTTGCTTCCAGTCTGGGCCCCCACTACCACAACTGGAGGGGCGGTGGTGGTGGTAATCACTCTGAATAAGTGTCCCCACCTTCCTTACCACCTCCAATAGCAACTGCTGACTAACTGCTACCATTAGGTAAGTAATCTCAAGAGCCTCAAGACAGGTAGTGCCATGCCCCCCAGACCACCAGTTCTGCTTCTAGCCCAGCCCTAGCAGCCATCATGCAGGGAAACAACACCCCTGGAGCTGCTTCCTGGCAACCACTACTACAAGCGCTATAGCCATGGCTACTGAAGACCCAGAAAAGAAAGTTCTCACCCCCAAAGTCCTTGGCACCATCAAATGGTTTAGCATCAGAAATGGGTATGGTTTTATTAGTGGAAACAACATTAGAGAAGATGCATTATCATCTGTCTTGCCACTTGTGTGTGATGTGTCCTCTGTTAGAACGTGAGTTCCTTGAGAACAGGGACTATCTTGATTTTCCATTTGTATCTCCAGTACATAGTATAGTGCTTTACAAATAAGTGTTTAATGACTACCTTCCTTCTTTCCTTCCTCCCTTCCTTTTTTCCTTTCTCTCTCTCTAACTTTCTCCCTTATTCTCTCCCTTTCTCCGTTCCTTCTTCCCTCCTTTTACTTCTTTCTTCCTGCTTCTTTTCTTCCTTCTTTCTTTCTTTCTTTCCTCCTTCCCCTCCTTCCTCCTTCCTTCCTTCTTTTCTCTCTTTCTTTTTCTTTCCTTCCTTCCTTTTTTCCTTTCTCTATAACTTCCTTCCTTATTCTCTCCCTTTCTCCATTCCTTCTTTCCTCCTTTTACTTCTTTCTTCCTGCCTTCTTTCTTTCTTTCTTTCTTTCTTTTTCTTTCTTTCTTTCTTTCTTTCTTTCTTTCTTTTCTTTCTTTCTTTCTTTCTTTCCTCCTTCCCCTCCTTCCTCCTTCCTCCTTCTTTTCTCTTTCTTTTTCTTTCCTTCCTTTCTTTTCCTTTCTCTATTTCCTTCCTTTCTTCTTTTCATTCCTTCTTTCTCTTTTCTTCTTTCTTCCTGCCTTCTTTCTTTCTTTCTTTCTTTCTTTTTCTTTCTTTCTTTCTTTCTTTCTTTCTTTCTTTCTTTCTTTCTTTCTTTCTTTCTTTCTTTCTTTCCTCCTTCCCCTCCTTCCTCCTTCCTTCCTTCCTTTCCCTTTCTTTCTTTTTCTTTCCTTCTTTGCTTCTTTTCTTTTAATTGCCACTGGTACTAGACACATTTTCTTCTATAAATAAGAGAATAAATGATATTTACACTGCCTACTTCACAGGATTATTGGGAGGAAATCACTTTATAAGTCCTAAAGCACTATAAACATATGAACTATTTTATTATTCATTCAATAGGCATGTTAGCTAAGAACTGCACTAAGACTTTTGGGACACCCCGTATATTGAGTATCTAGGCTAGGGCATGTGCAATGCTTTATAATGCAAGTTCTCTCACTAAGCCTCAGTTTCTCCAGAAAAAATGAGCTCCTTTATGCTTGGCTTCCTTTTTCCTCTCTAGAGACAGTAAGAGCTTAAATAAAGATAATATCTTTCAGAGATTCTCAGAGACAAGCCCTAGAAAAAATATATTGCTATTATTGCCCTAGCACCCAAGTGCTCATTCAAGCCTTCCTCTCAGCTCCTCACACACTTCTCACCATCTGCCCCCTTTCCCTGTACCCATTGTGATCGATTCCCTAGCTCACATTAATTGGAACTTGCTTGAACTGAAATGGGTATGAGTGATTTACTATTTTCTTTCAGGAAACAGTGTGAAGCTGACCTGCTGTTGGTTGCCAGGCAACCTTGATGACTGAACAGGAAAGACAAACTTCAGGGAAGAGGTGGGTGTGAAAGTCTTGTTAGCAGCTATTGAATATGAGGCTCTTCCCTCCCCCTTAAGGTGCAAGAACTGTCTGGATGGCCTTGTCTTTTGATTATTGTGGCTGTCTCCGTGAACAGTATGTGTATGTCTGTGCTGTGTTAGAGGTGGCCGTGGATACTCCCAGGTGGAAAATAAGGCCTTCGAGGAAGAAATAAGTGTTAGAGATTCAGAGAGGTAGCTGGAAGACCCCTGGAGACATCACTTAGCTAAGTGCCATGCATTCATTCTGTTTTCTTAGTCCTTGATTTCTCTCCTACATACCGAAGAAGGTTTTGCCACCCAGCCTTCAGACATCATCAGACAATTACACTATGTTCTCACCTATCTTCTTGCTGAGGGTTTTCACTTTCCTTTCCCAGACTGTACAGCCTTGTTTGCATATCTATGTGGCTAACAGGGCAAATCTCTTAACCCGTTATTAATATCCCTTAATATTCTGTAAGATATTCTACTATTTGTATTGTCTAGATCATTAGAGTTCAACAAGTTAAGATTATTGTAGCTGTCTTAATTTCTTTTTTAAAATCTGAATTTATACATCACAAAAAGAGATTTATATACATACAGAAGAACACAAAAAGAGGATTCTATATGAACAGGGAATCCACATTTCATATCACTTGCTTAAAAAAAGAGTAATAAATTCTAGACTTTATTTTCCAAATTGCCCCACTTGTCTGTGCTTCTTTCTGAACATCTTTTCATTCTCTTCTGTGCATTTTTTAAAATGGCGTAATGACCCTCTTTTTTTCTGTCATTACTAAAGTACCCCTTTATATTCTCATGCTTTTCTTTTTTTTTCCTTTTTTAGAATCAGGAAGTTTGTTTTCCTTGTGATCTTTCCCTCCCTGCTGCAATCCTCCTGCTTAACCTCATTCCCTCCCTATCCAAGTGTGTTTCCTTGTCGAGTCTGATAAATTCCTATGCCAAATTGTATGTGTGTATTTAACCCTCCTTCATTATAGTTCAGATAAAAATGAAGTTCATATTGTGCTCACTTCCCCTCCTTCCTCCATGTTTGAGTATTCTTCTTCTCATGTATTCCAATCATAAGAAGCCACACTTTCCACAGACTTCATCCTCCTTTCTGTACCAGTATATCCTTCCATTTAGCCTGCCTTTTATTTCCCTTCTTCAAAACCTCATAACAAAAGCAATACCCTGACCCTCCATTTTTCTTTTCTTTTCTTTTCTTTCTTTTTTTTTTAAACTCTAGCCATATCCTTTGAAGACATTGGGGTTCTTAAGGCACATTTGTTTCTTCCTCTTTGTTAGAATGTTATTAGGATTTATATTTGATCCAGAACTGAAACACATTGATCATCATCTTATAGCTCCTTCCAATTGCTCAAATTAATTTACCTTTCTAGGTTTCTCTGGACTCTTGTGTTTATATTTCAAAGTTCCCACTCAGCTATGGTCTCATGGTCAGAAATGCTTGAAAGTCCTCTATTCCTCTAAAGATTATTTTTTTCCCTTGTAGAATTAACTCAGTTTTGCAGGATTGGTTATCATTAGTCATAAGCCCATATCTTTTGAGTTTTGTAATACTGTATTCCAAGTTCTCCTCTCATTTACAGTAGAATTTGCCAAGTTGTGTGCATGTGTGATCCTGACTCTCGTTACTTGGTAATTAAGAGTCCTACTTATTGGATGCCTTGCAGTATTTCTTTGACACGGAAGCTCTGAATTTTGGCTATGAAATTCCTAGGACTTTTACTTAAGGAGTTTCTTTCAGAACTTTACTCTCTGAGATTATTTTTCATCATACATGCACACATATATGTGTATACACACATATGTGTGTAGATCTACCATCTATCTATCTATCTATCTATCTATCTATCTATCTATCTATCTATCTATCTATCTATCTCTTTTGTGTGCCTAGTTACCTACATGCTATCTCCCTCATTATAATGTTAGCTCCTTAAAGTCAGGGCTGATTTTTGCCTTTCTTCTGTCTCCACCACTTAGTATGGTGCTTATCACACAAACACTTCTTTTTATAATAAATTTATTTATTTTTAGTTTTCAACATTCACTTCCATAAGATTTTGAGTTCCAAATATTCTCCCCATCTCTCTCCTCCCCACCCCAAGATGGAATACAATTTGATATAGGCTCTACATATACGTTGATATTGAACCTATTTTCACATTAGTCATGTTGTAAAGAAGAATTAGAACCAATGGGAGAAACCCAGAGAAAGAAGAAAAAAAGAGAGAGAGAGCAAATAATGTGCTTTGATATGCATTTAGACTCCATAGGTTTCTTTTTTTCTGGATGTGGACATCATTTTCCATCATAAGTCTGTTGGAGTTGTCTTAGATACTTACATGGCTAAGAAGAGATAAGTATGTCAAAGTTAGTCATCACACAATGTGGCTGTTACTGTGTACAATATTCTCCTGGTTCTGCTCACTTGACTCAGTATCTGTTCATTTAAGTCTTTGCATGTTTTTTGAAGTCTGCCTGCTCATCATTTCTTATAGCACAGTAGTATTATATTACATTCACATACCACAACTTGTTCAGCCATTCCCCAAGTGATGGGCATCCCTTCAATTTCCAATTCTTTGCCACCACAAAAAGAGTTGCTATAAATATTTTTGTACATGTGGGTCCTTTTCCAATTTGTGTGATCTCTTTGGGATACAGACCTAGAAGTGGTATTGCTAGATCACACAAACTCTTATAGACCTCACTTCTATTTAGCCTTGTACTCTACCTAGACAAAAAAAAAAGGAAGCCCAGCCTATAAGTCTCCATTTTGTTGCTGGAGAAACTGAGGTCTATTGAGGAAATTAACTTTTAAAGTACTGTAGACTGCTTAAAGGAGATCAGAAAACTGTACATAAGCCTAAAAACTAAGAGATGAAGGTGAGGCTGGAGAGTATTCCAGGCATGAGATCAGCAGGTGCAAAGGTATGGAGACAGACAAGTGGGACAGTTAGCTGCATCATAGAATGGGTGGAAGGGAATAAAGTATAGGAAGAGTGGAAAGGTAGGGAGAAGCAAAATCTAGGGCATAAAAACTCAAATCGTAATGTTCCTCACAGCATAATTCCTGTGAATGTCTCTGAAAGAATGTCTTCTTAAAGAGAACAAACTTCTGGGAGTTTTCAATGGAAAGAAATAAATTTTGAGAGTCTTATGTTGACTCTATGTTGTGGAGATGATCATTGTTCAACCTGTAGGAAAAACCATTGAGGCAGAGCTCTGAGCCAATAGCACCTTATTAAAGGGTCCATGAGAAGAACCTTAAATGCCAAATAGAAGGCTTTAAATTTGATCTTGAAAATGATAGGGAGCCACTGCAACACACTGATAAGACCTGTGCTTTAGGAAGATCATTTTAGCAGATGAGAGGAGAATGGATTGGAGTGAGGATTGACTTGAGGCAAAGAGACCATTTAGAAAGCTATTGATTCTGCCATATCCAAAAATATTTTTCATTCTGCATCTTGAATCCATCACCTCCCTGTCAAGATGTGGATAGAATGCATCATCTTTGGTCCCTTAGAATCATCATTAGTCATTTCATTGATCAGATTTCTCAAATCTCTCCAAGTTGTCTTTATAATGTTATTGTTATTATATAACTTATTCTGATTCTGCTCACTTCATTTTGTATCAGTTCATACAAATCTTGTCAAGTTTCTCTGAAATCATCTTTTTCATTATTTCTTATAACACAATAGTATTTCATTACATTCATATCCTCTAATTTGTTCAGCCATTCCCCAATTGATGAGCACACCTTTAGTTTCCAGTTTGAGACCAAAAAAAAAGAGCTACTATAAATATTTTTGTACATATGAGTCCTTTTCATATTTCTTTTATCTCTTTCTAACTCTAGGTACAATAATGGTATTGCTGGCTGAAAGGAAATGGCATACATGGTCTAGTAACTTTAGGGACAGAGTTCCAAATTGCTTTCCAATGTGACTACACAAATTTACAATTCTGCCAATAGTGCATTAATTTGCCTGTTTTCCCTTGGCCTCTCCAACATTTGGTATTTTCATTTTTTGCCAACTTTGCTAATCTGATAGTTATGAGGTAGAATCTCTAACTTGCTTTAGTTTATATTTCTCTTATTATTAATGACTTGGAGCACTGTTTCATATGGTTATCATGTAATTTCTTCCTTTGTTAGACTGCAAATTTGTAAAAAAAATTGTTTTTCTTTTTTTTAATTGCTGGGGAGGATTTCAGGGAAAAGAAAATATTCATTGAAACTGAGAATTATTAAAAATTATTATTTTTGTTAATTAAAAAAAGTTTAAAACAAAAAAACCTTTTATAGTAGTCCATGTGAGAGATGATGAGGACCTCAACTAGAGTGGTAGGTGTGTGAATAGAAAAGAAACATATACAAGAGATGTTGTGAAAGAAGAGGATTTGGCAGCAGACTGGATATGTGAGGTGAGTGAGAACGAGGACTTGAGACTGTCACAAGGTTGCAGACTTGAGAGATTAAGAGAATGGTGGTACCATGGACAGTAATAAGGAAGTTCTAAAAAGGGAATGATTTGGGAGAAAATATCATGAATTCTCTAAGGTTCTTTGTGGTTTTGACATTTTATGATTCTGTCATCATATCAGGTGGTTGCTATCACCCCCACCAACAAGAACCATGCAGCCTACAGTTGGGGACTCCCTCCCTCCTTCCTCCCAAATCTCTCAAAGACTATATATGTATGTATGTGTGTATATATGTGTGTGTGTATGCACACACATACATGTATATATACATATACACATACAAATATTTATATACACATATAGGAATATATACATATATGTGGGATTTATAACACACACACACACATACTGCTGTCATTAACATAGCCTTAGGATTATTCCTGTGAAAGATTCTGGTTTCAGATACCATGTATAACCTGGAAACCAAAGGTTAGTAGTTTGAATCCTACTTTAATCTTTTCTCTTTAGGTAGCCAGCTGGAAAAAGGTGGGAAGTTAGTATTTTGCTTTCCTTTGGGGTGGGAAAAATAATGAAAGATTTATAAGGAAGGTCTCTATGTGCATGTGACTCGATCTGAGAACAGGTGAGAGGACAATGCAGATAATAATGGCATGGAAAAAGGTTTAAATTTTCAAGTGAAAGTGAGGTGACTAGGAAGAGACGTGGACATGGGGTAAGGTTATGTCCTCTTATGATCCAACTTGTTACCCTGTGGTGGGCTTTAAATACAATTTTATGTTAACCAGATATGGCAGCTGTAATCCTTGCTGCTGGGGGAGGCAAAATTTGGTGCATTGCCTTAGCTTAGGAATTCTAAATTGAAGTAAATAGTTTTTGCTTGAAGATATATCTTGAGAGACAACCTTGTGAAGAAGCCATTTCAGTTTTGGATAGCTCTTAGTATTAGGAAGTTTTTACAAATATCAAGCCTCTATTACCCTCAAATTTATTCCAAGCCCCTCTTACATCTTACATATATACTTTGTTCTTTAGGTCTCAGGTCTTCATTATTCGTAGTTGCTTTAAGAGGCACCATCTCTCTTCCCTGGACCATCAATACCCTGAAGCTCTGGGCTCCATGGCCTTCCCACCCAGATATCTGATTTACTGCTTTCCCTCCTAACTTCTACAACCAAGGGATTACCTGGAGATTTACATTCACAGCTTCCTCCTCTTCTGAACAATTTGCAGAGACTTTAGTCTCCCAGGTAATATTTTCTAGGGCCCAGAGCCACTATGGAGCGTAAAAAACTGAATGCAGAACAAGGTTTCAGAATATCCAAGAAAAGGATTTTTCATTTAATCTGTAATAAAGCATTAGAAGTTAACAGATTGACTCTCAAGAAGGGAAATGTGTGTGCGTGTGTGTGTGTGTGTGTGTGTGTGTGTGTGTGTGTGTGTGTATAGATAGATAGATAGATACATAGATAGACAGATACATAGATAGATCTATATACATACATCAATACCTACAGATCTTAGACCACCATCTTACCCTAGGGATTCTACAATGGAGAATTCTTGAAGATGACCTAACCACATAAACTGGAGAAAGAGACTGCTCTATGTTTTCATTTGGGGAGTGTTTTTGTTTTAGGGAGAAAATATTATTTCAGAATGAAATCCCAAGCAAGGCTGCCATAGGATGCAGAACAACAAAGAGAACCATAGAACCAAAGATCTATAGCACATGTAATATGATTTCCAGCTTGTGATTACGGAAAAGGTAGTTTTTGTGTGAGTTGCCTAGGAAACCAATGCTGTAGAATAACTGTGATCACCTCAAACAGTAACCAGAGGTCTTAGAGTTGAGTTCATTTTTCCTTCTCCAAGACAGGATTTCCTAAGTATGCTAATCATCTCATTAATTATTGTTCCACCAGGGACAGTCACTTCTGCCAGCCCAGGGTGCTGAAGCTTAACTCCCAGATATGCCTATCTGCTGGAAGTCAGGATCTCAACTTTTGCATATCTCAAATCATTTGCCTCAATGATGAACTAGTGGATGGCTGCCACAAGCTGCTTCCTGACTCTGCCGTTTTACATTGAAAGGCTGCTTTGATGGATAAGACAGTAAACTTGTCATAGGTAGGATTTATGTGCAACATCAAGAACCAAAACCTTTTCACTAAGCTTGCCTGGGCAGAGGCCCTTGTTTTTACAGCTGAGAACACCCTACATCATGAAGAGAGGAAGCATCTTCATGTGTCATCTTATACTCAATCCAACCATCAATTAAAAGTTACACTTCATAGTTACCTATTTTGGATTAATCTATTCTTAACTCACTCTATATTCTTTTTCATTACCCTCATATTTTGTGTAATACTATTTATTAATGTTCAACATTAGTATAACACATTGTACTTTTAATGTACTTTGTAGTACATGGATCCATTTGATTTTTTTTCTGAGGCAATTGGGGGTTGAGTGACTTGCCCAAAGTCACACAGCTAGTGTTATGTGTCTGAGGACACATTTGAACTGAGGTCTTCCTGACTCCAGGACTGGCTCTATTCACTTCGCCACCTTGCTGCCCTCGTTTGATCTTCTTAACAACTCTATGAGGATGGGAGGGCTGGGATTTTTGTCCCGTAAGACCTAAGTGACAGGAAAGCTGAGTGAAATTGATCAACACTCTGTGGTGAATTAGTGACAGACCTGAGATAAAGATTGGTGCTCCTTTTTCTTGGTCCTGTACATGTTTCATCAGGACAAGTCGGTCCTTATTGCTATGGACAACAATTTGAGCATTAGCCAAGTATCTGAGAATGATATACCATATGATTTAAAAGATTCATTTCTAGATAGGTAATAAACATTCAAAATTGACATCAATATCTGATGAATTCCCACTGCTGAGTGATTCTCAAGGTATGTTGATCTGGAGCATTAGTGGCCTACTATAAGAAAAAGGCCTGCTTTGGGAATGGAGAAGCACATAGTCATCTGAGGAAAAGCAGCTTCAGGGACTATGACCCCAAACGATAGAAAGAAGAGCCTGTTATAGATTCCTGAAAGGCATTGACCCTTGGAGCCTAGCAGAGAGCTACACCCAACATGGACCTCCCTTATAAATCTGCAAAGGACAAAAAAAGACTTCAATCAATCAATAAGCATTTATTAAGTGTCTACTGTATGCCAGGTATTGTGCTATTATGCTGAGTGCTAGGGATACAAAAGGAAGGAAAAGACAGACTCTGCCTTCAGGAAGCTTACAATCTGATGGGAGAGACAACATGCAAACACATATATAAAAAGCAAGCAATATACAGGAAAAATAGAAAATAATTAAAAGAGGGAGGGCACTGGAGGGGTTGGGGAAGGCTTCCTATAGAAGGTAGGATTTTAGTTGAGACTTAAAGGAAGACCAAAATGTCAGTAGTAAGGATGGAGGAGAGAAAACATTCCAGGCATGAGGGACAAGTCAGAGAGAATACGTGGATCTGAGAGATTAAGTGTCTTGTTAGAGGAAAAGCCAAGAGGCCAGTCACTGGATCAAAAGGGTATTGAGGTCTAAAGTGTAAGGAGCCTGGAAAAGGAGGGAGCTAGGCTATGAAGGGTTTTGAATGCCATAAAAGAGAATTTTGTATTTGCTCTTAGATGTAATAGGAAATTACTAGAGTTTATTGAGTAGGGGATGTGATATGATCAGACCTGCATTTTAGGCAAATCACTTTAGTGATTGAATGGAAAATGGATTAGAGTGGGGAGAGACTTGGGACAGGCAGAACCACTAGCTGGCTATTGCAGTAATTCAGGCATGAGGTGATGAGGGCCTGCAGTAGAGAGGTGGCAGTGTCAGAGGAGAGAAGGGTTGCAAAGGTGAGATTGAACGGCCTTGGCAACATATTAGATTTGAGGGGGTAAGAGAAAGTAAGAAATCCAGGATGACTCCTTGTTTTTGAGCCTGAGGAACTGGGAGGATAGTGTTGTCCTCTACAGTAATAAGGAAGGTAGGAGGGAGAATGGTTTAGAAGGAAAGTTAATGAGTTCTGGTTTTGGACACATTGAGTTTAAGGTGTCTATTGGGTGTCTAGTTTTAGATATCTGAAAGGCAGTTGGAAATTGGAGGTCAGGAGAGAGATTGGTGCAGGAAAAATAGATTTGAGAATCAAATTAAATTAAATCCATGGGAGCTGATGAGACTACCAAGTGAAGTAACATAGAGGGAGAAGAGAAGCAGGCCCAGGACAGAACTCTGAGGCACACCTACAGTTACAGGGTGCGATCTGGATGAGGATCCAGTAAAGGAGACAGAGAAGGAACGGTCAGATAGGTAGGAGGGAAACCAGGAAAGAGTGGTGTCCTGAAAATCAAGAAAGAAGAGAGTATTAAGGAGGAAAGAGTGGGCAACGGTGTCAAAGACTGCAGAGAGGTCAAGAATGATGAAGACTGAGAAAAGGCCATTGGATTTAGCAACTACAAAAGCATTAGTAAATTTCAAGACAGTAGTTTCAGTGGATTGATAAAGTTGGAAGCCAGATCATAAGGGGTTAAGGGGACTGTGAAAGGAGAGAAAGTGGAGGCATCTATTGCAGATGCCCTTTTTAAGGAGTTTATCTACAAAAAGCAGAAGAGACATAGGATGATAGTTAACAGGGAAGAAAGGGTTATGTGAATTTTTTGTTCTTTTCAAGATAGGGAGGATGAGCATATTTATAGGCAGTAGGAAATGAGCTGGTAGAGAGGGAGAGATTGAATACAAATGAAAGAGTGGAGATGAGAGAAGGGGAGATGGGATTGAATAGAATCACTTGAACATGTAGAGAGGTTAGCCTTGGTAAGACCAGTTCTTTATGTGAGACAGGGTTGAAAGAAGAGAGAGTGGCAGAAGGCACTTAAATGATAGGAGCCAAGGAAGAGTGAAGGAAAGTGAGTTCATGGAGAATAGCCTCAATTTTTCCTATAAAATATGGAGCGAAGTTCTCAGCTGAGAGAGTGAGCAGGGTAAGGAGGAGAGATAGCGAGCCATGGGAGGTTTAAGGAGGAATGAAAAGGTTTGGAGGAGCTGCTGTGGAGAGTGGCATAGTGATGTAATGAGGCAAGTATAAGATTGCCTAACAGCAGTGAGGGCCCTGTTGAAGTTATATAACACAAATTTGTAGTGGACCCAGGCAATGGTTTTGTGACTTTTTCTACCTTCATTCAGCAGCACACATATAGGATCAAAGGTGATGAAGGGTGGGAATGATCCAAGGCTAAGGTTTGTCTGGGCAAATTTGATGACATGATAAGCGAAGTAGGGATTCAAGATATGAGGACAGTGTGGAGTTGAATTGCTTCACCGAGGAATAAACATTCAGAAAAGAAGAGAGAGTGGCTAGTGCAGGGGAGAGGGCCTAGGAGACAATTGAGGAGTCAGGGGATTGGAGGTTACAGTGTGGATGAAGAATAGGGTTATGTAAGGGAAGGCAGAAGAAGTGAAAAGCTAATAGACTATGGTTGGATAAGGGGATTTTTGAATTCTTGAACATGGAAGTGGTACATTTATAAGTGATGGCAAGATCAAAGAAATGACTATCTTTGTATGTGGATGGGTAGAATGGAGGAATAGTTCATGGGAGATAAGAAGGTGAAGAACTGAGTGGTTAGGATATTTGAGGAAGAATCAATATGTATGCTGAATTACCCTGGTATGAAGGCAATTGGGGAAGAGAAGAAAATTGTAAAACAGGTATCAAACTCATTGAGGAAGGAAGGGGAATAACTTAGGGAGTCTGTAGACAATAATTACCAGGACTGTACCACTCAGTAGATATGAATAGCACAAAGCTCAAAGGAAGGGAGGTTAGTGAGTGAAGAAGGAAGGGAGAGAACCTGGAAGTGGCAATGGGGAGCAAACTTCAACTCAATTCCCCTTCCTTAACAAATGGCCCAAAGAGAATGAGTGAAGATGCAGCCAGTACTGGAAGGAGTATCCAGGGAGACTCTACCATCAGGGAGAAATCTAGGTTTCAATGAGAGCTGGGAGGTGGAAGGAGTGGGAGAGGAATAGATTTAAGATGAAGGAAAGTTGGTTGTCTATAGAACAGGAATTCCAGAGGGTATAGTGGAAGGGCTGGGTGGAGCTGTGATGAAACTTTGGGGTAGGAGAATTGAGGGGGATGCACTTCAAGAGCAGGAGTTAAATATTCCCTATGTGTATGCCTCTCTACCATTGTACTCTAAGTTTGTCTGTTGTTCTTTGTCCTTCATTTTTTGAAGAGGACCATAACATGGGGAAAGTGATGTCATGACTTGCAAGTGAATTGATTTAAGTGAGGGAGGGCTGTGCAAAGATACCATGGTGTCTCACTTTCTCCTCTAGAGACATCTGCATGCAGTGGCAAGATATAGGTCAGGACAATTGGAGATGGCCCCTGAGGCTAAGTAAGAAATGAGGCAAAGAATGGCATTTTTTACCTAGTAAAAAAAAATCCATCTGGGAGGGGAAGACTCTCAGTATTTCTGGCCAAAACAGAAACAATGGCTATTTACACTCACTCTGAGCCTCTATTCTTCCCATGGGTGTCATGTGTATTTGTTAGAAGATATGCTCTGGTTGTTGTTGTTGTCATTTTGGTGGGGGCAGGAGGGAAATGTATGTACTAACTCTTCTCAGTAAATACTTTCTTAGTCAATACCTTTTCTAAAAGTTAAGTCTGGAAGGCTGAGTGTTAATGGGGAGCACATCAATGAGGGCTTATAAGCGACAGATGAACTGACTAGAAGTATAGTCTATCACTATAATCTTACTAGGAGGCCAGTTACCTTCTGGAGACCCCAAACCACAAATATGAATATGAGTTGAGTGAGTGTCCCCAGAGGAGCCTATTCAAATAATAGGAGTGGTGGTGGTGGGGTAGTACTGATGGTGATGATGATGATGATGATGATAGCTAACATTTATATAGTGCTCTAAGGTTTGCAAAGTGCTCTAAAGTAAGATTGAATGTCGGCCAATCCCAGAAGCCTGGGAGTTGGACTAGGTGATCTCTAAGGTTTATTCTAGCTTTAGTGTTCAATAGCTCTGTGAAATAATTTTTCACAGAGTTACCATGGGGAAACATGGTAGCTATATTTAAGTACTTAGGGGCTGTCATACAAAGGAGAGGTTACGTTTATTTAATTGGGCCCAGAGGGAGAACAAGGTGCATTGAATGGACAAGTCTCAGAGAAGCAAATATAAGTTTAATGTAAGGAAAAACTTCTAACAGAGCTTTCCAAAAGAATAATAGACCGCTTCTGATAGTTGTGAGTTTGTCCTTACCAAATACCTTCAAGGAAAGGATGTATACACACTTGTCAGATATAATTCCTGTTCAAGAACATCATGAGCTCCACAGTTCCTTACAGCTCTGATATAATGTGCTTTTTGATTAATTGGCACAAAGCATTGTGAGCTGAGGCTCTAAGGATCAATACTAAAATGTCAAAAGTTGGCCAGATGAAAAGTAGTTGAGAGAACCAACAAGAATGCCCACACTAAATGATAACTTTTCTCTACTGGGATTGGAGAACAGGCTTTGCAGGAGGATGAATCTGTTGAGGATGAATGCTTTGTATTGAGAATGAGTAGTTTAGTGGTAAGAGCAGTGTAGACAAAGTTTTTGTTTCAGTTCTGTCACCAGCTATCAGTGTAACATTGACTAAGTCATTTTCCCTCCCAGGACCTCACTTTCCTTATTTGTAAAAGGCAAAGTTGCACTCTACCTCCAAGGTCCTTTCCACCTTTGGATATTTTGGCTACTAGCTTCACTCTTCCTGAAATTTAAAAAATTCACATTATGAGCAGATACCAAAATAGAAAAGACAAGGATAAAGTGAAGAGGGTACCCAGGATGGTGAAAGGCTTTGAGTCCATGAAATAAGAAGATCAGTTGAAGGAACTGGTAATGTTTAGAATAGCATAAAGAAGATTCATGAGGACCATGATAACTGTCTTCAAATATTTGGAAGGTTTTCATGTATAAGAAAAAGATGTTTAAAAAAAAAGATGTTTTGTTTTATTTTTGGCCCCAAAGGGCAGAACCAGGACCCATGGATAGAAGTTGTAAAAAGACACATTAAGGTTTGATGTCAGGAAAAACTTCTTAACAATTCAAGCTGTCTTCAGGTGTAAAAGGCTGTCTTTACAACTGGTTGGTTACCTTCCTTGGAGTCTTTCAAGCAGAGGTTGTATAACTGCATATTTTTTTAATATTATAGTGAGGATTCATTTTGCATATAAATGGAAGTAGATTGCTGTTCAGCTCCCTTCTAACTCTCAAACTGGTTACTCTGTGATTCCAGGAGTTTTAACCAAGAAAAACTGGTGTGTATTAGAAAGAACATTGGATTTGGATATAGAAGATCTAGGTGCAAGTGCCATATCTGCTACTTGTGCAACCTTAGGTAAATCATTTTATCTCCTTGAGCCTGTTTCCTAACTTGGAATATAAAGGAGTTAGACTAGAGGGTCTCCAAGACTGCTTCTAATTTTAAATCCCAAATTGCTTTTTTAGGGGATACTCTCATTAATAGAATTAAAGAAACTTATGTCACTAGGAAATTATTAGTTAAGCCATTAGGATCTAAAGGTGACAGAAGTAATGGAAATTAACAATGGTGTTTGGGAATACACATGTAGGACACTTGGGCTTGTGAGGAAGTGAAAGAGGAGAGTCTATATAAAGAAGGCATGCATATATTTGTGGATGTGAATATGAGAAGATATTTGTGTGTATGATATATCAGTATAATTTGTCTCTGCTGGTATTCATACAAATAACTGTGAGAAACACAGAGATAGAAACATATACTTTTATAAACATAGTTAAAGCAGATATCCTCTTTTATTACTATTGACATAGGAATCATATACATATACTCCCCCAAATGCTCATGCCAAAATAGACATAGAAGCATAGGTTTGTGAGAACAAGACACTAAACATGGAGATGAAAGTGAAAAATTATTTACTTAAACATTTTCAGAGGTGTTACCAGATACCATTTGTTTGACTAAAATTTCCTCCTTCATACACAAGGTGTTCCAAAAGCCTCAGTGGAGTTTTAATAGCTTAAAATATTTGAAATAATTTTATTAATATAATAGATATTTTTAATAGCTTAAAATTGAATGAGACTTTTCATATCACCCTGAATTTTATAGCTCTTTGTTTCCATTTAGACAGTCTGATGGTCTGAATCTATGACTATGTCTTCAAAATACCAAGAAATCAGGACCTAAGGTGAAAAATCAATTAACTGCCTGGTCTAAATAGTGTCAGCTGAGTTTGTAAGTACTGTCAGGGCCAGGTCTTATGCTTGTATCCTCTACTGATCTGCATTATGTATTCAACAGAGGGGCAGCATGGATAATGGAAAACAAATTCTGAACTTTCCAGGTAGATGTAAGTTCAAATCCCACCTGGTAGATTTAATAACTATGTGAATAGGAGCAAGTCAGTTAATCTCTGAGCCTGAGTTTCTTCATCTATAAAATGGAGATAGCAATATTTGTGAGAGTACCTTCCTAGCAAGGTTGCTGTGATGCTACAATGAGATGATGTATCTTCAGTGCTTTTCCAGTTTTAAAGCCCTATGTAGGTATTTGTTATTGGTTAATGCTAGTAGATCAATTGTATATGTGTGTTTTTCCACAGGTGGCCATTTTTTGATTGAGCTAATTGTTGTGGTCCCTTCAGAAGCCTATGCCTTTATGTTCCATCTGGTTTAGGCTTTTCTGAATCATACCTGCCTTACTGTTTATCTGCAAGGTTCTCCTTCAGTGTGTTTGTGAAAGTGCATGAATCAGTGTCTGCTTACACGTTTCTATGTGGGTAGGTGGGAAAGATGGTAAATCAAACATCCACAAAGGGATGGAGAAGGAACTAGGACTGCCATGCTTCCCTTTGTAAAAAGAAGCTTAATTGGTCTATTCTTGTCTTGCCCTAGCAGCTGCCACCAGCCTTCCTCAGGTTCCCTTCTTTTCAATTTAATCCTGTGTGTCGGGGTCAAAGGGATATTGGAGAGAACACCATCTCTAGCTCCTACTCGGCCTTCTGACCCTGTAGTGCCTCTGCCAGTGTCCGAGAAGGCTGGTCTCACCATAATTACTGGAGTTCTGTTCCTAATCCCTGGCAAGGAGCTATGGGGGAGGGAAACGAAGAATGAACTAGAAGGATGGCTGTGGTGCGTGCAACTGACATTTACAATCTGTTGCCATGGTACCATGGGGACTTTTGTTTTGAAATGGGTTTTATCTCCTCCCTCTCTTTCAAAATGACGTCATGCATGTCCGTGGCATTGACAGGCCACCTGTGGGTTGATAGGGGTTTAAAGAGACTTCTCCAGTTGCAACAAGAGCCAGTGCTATTGTCTCTCCGAAAGCTATAAGGGCTGTGGTGCATGCAGGCTAGACTCCGGACCCAGCACCTCCCTAAAACTCGAAGGCAGTGGCTCTTCACCCAGGGGAGGCCAGTGGGGATGGGGAGGGGAGGGTATTCAGGTATAAGCCCCTGTACATATATACCTCCCTCTAACCCAGACCCTCACCCTATTCTTCGTGCTTTGCTCCCTCCCCCCTTTGGGAAGAAGCAAATAGGTAGGGTGTGTGCGCGAGGAAGTAGACATCCTTATATACACATCCCGAAGTTGTGAGAAGGAATAGACACCTTCCCTCATCTCCAGGACAGGAGCCAGGTAAGGTTCTAGCTGGGATTCCCTACTTAACCCGAAACACATCCCCTGAAGAGGGCAGGAAGCGGCCAGATGCCGCCTGGATTGAGGGTGGGAGGAGGTGGATCTGGGACTGGGAAACAGGGGACTATAGGCCACCTTTCACAGTTCCTAAGAGCTGGGCTCTGGATCTGCAACAGGTGGACCACTACGCTGAGCTCCATTGCCAACTTAACCGAAGGTGGAGGAGGAGGAAACGGGAGCGAGAGCGGGAGCAGGAGAGATCTCTGACTGATCAAGGTAATCAGAAACTCGCTACAGAACAGGGCTGCAGCGCCTATCTGTTCCGAGTGCGCTTAGGGTTCAGCCTAGTAATATTTGGCACTCTAACCTGGAAGAACGTTCCCTGGAGATAATGAGAACCCCACACACCTTTCCATAGCTGCAACTCTCCCCTCGTCTTATTTAGATCAGAAATCCGCTTTAAGTTTGCATATTCTAGAGACCAAGCTATCAGGGTCTCTCTCTCAGATGTTTGAAAAGACAGTCGAGTCCAATCTGAACCCTAAATGAAGAGAAAGGCACACTACAAAGTGGACGAGGTTAATTCTAAGCCTCAACACTCTCAGTCTGGCCATTTTAGCCCCTCCCTGAGTCCAGAACTGCTCTAGATCTCCAAGGCGCCGCCCTATGGGGTTGGCACTTGTTGCATGTTGAAAATAGAACTAACTGGCTTCAGAACTCGGTTTCATTTCTCAGGTCACCTCCGCTCAAGATCTCTCGGGAAAGATAAAGAAGACACACGAGTGATGCCTGTAAGGTCCGAGGTTCCTCTACAGAACTAAGGTTTCAGGAGCCATGTGAGGGAGGCTGCAGAAGGCTGGTGATGTCTGTACACCAAAGGTCCAGAGAGCTCTGCTTTCGATACTTGGCAATTATTTACTATTAAAAGGTGGTTTAGAGAGGAGGGTAAGACTGCTGCTGGGGTGTAACCTCTCCAGACAAAGAACTTCTCTTCTCACAGCCCACCACACCCTACCACCACACCCCCACTCCCACTCAAGAAATGATTACAGAGGGTTCATGTAGAAAGCTCGAGGAAGTCCTACTAGCTAAAAAGCAGGGATGTCCCCAGGATTTGGGTCCTGCCTGTTGGGGTATCTACTTGAGTCCTCCTAGATCTCATCCTGGGTTATGGGAATCACTTGCTTCACTTTTAGGTTGTTCTTTTTCAGGCTAAGGTTGAATGCCCTGGGCTACCTGCTCTACCCAATTCCTCTGGGCTCAAGCCACCTTTGTTAATAATTTACCAGGCGGCAATAACTGGTCTTTGTGCGGCTCTAGAGGCTCACAATCCGAGCCTCTCACCAGGCCTTTCTCTTCTCTTTCCTCTGCCCGTCCCCTCTTTCCCTCGAGTCCCTCTTTCTTCTCTGCCCCTCCCCGCTCTGCCCGGCAAGTCCTCTCAAACTCCGCAATTCCAGGAAAAACCAATCCCGCTGCTAACAACTACCCTGCTCCCGGCGTAGGCTTGTAGACTGTTTCAGCACCAGAAGTGCGGACAGCGCCCCGGGAGTACATAACCGAAAGAAGTCCCCACCCCTTTTGCCTCACTGCCTGATTCCTCTAACGCCCAGGGCTAGTAGTTGTCTTCGTCTTTACCTGATTGTGGAGTCCTGTAAGTGAGAAGAATAGTGGAGAAGGGCACGGGTTCTCCCCTAGTTTCCTAGAGTTTTTCTTTTTCTTCCTTTTTCTTTCCTATTTCTACCCTCCACTTCAAACAGAATTATAAATTTGGGCTGAGTTGCAAACAAAAGCTTAACTGGAAACACTGGAAAGGGGTTGGGGAGGAGGGAATGAGAAAAGGTCTGAAGAGGTCCTTAATCATGTTAAAGATGAACTGAAAAAATAAGTTTTGTTTCTCTGGAAAATATCCCCATGGCTATCCTATGCATCCCTTTCTCTCCTGTGCTTAGTATAGAGCATTTGAAATTTCTCACCCTTTCCCTGGACCTCCATTTTTCTGAATGACCCCTGTGGAGTAGCAGGGAGCAGAGCTGGAAAATGAGCTGCTGGTGTAGGATGTGGGAATGGGCAGTGGAGAGCTCTTCAGATAGTGAGAATAACAGGGAAGAACCTTAGATAAGTAACTATAGGACTAATTTAGAAAAAGGCAGAGACAGTTGTCTTCTGCCAGCCGATGGAGACTGGAAAGTCCACTTCTGTTCCAATACAGGTAAGGAATTTTAAAATTCTGTCTCTCAGATGGTAAGAGAATATTTGTTTTATTTTCAGTCTAGTTTTGAAATGTATGATTGAGGTTAATCTTAACTGTATATTTATGCTTGTGTTGTGATCATCCTTTGAGAATGGGAGAGACCATACATCTTTATGCAAGTGAAATCTTTTTAAAAGGAACACCAAGTTAAATCTTAATTAATGGAACCTAGAGGACAAAGATTAAGAAAAATAGTAGATAGATTACTAGGAGAAAGAGGACATCAAAGGAGAGATATCAGAAAAGGCAACCAGAGTAGTGCACTCAGAAGGGGGAAAGAAATTGTTACCTAGCAACCAGCTTTAGTCACATCTCTTGTTGCCTTGGTCACAGTGGGTGGGGTCACTTGAAAAAGAATGCTTTAGGTCCTTTTTGTAGTGGGATGTAGAGGTAATAGGTACTTCCATCTCCAAAAGGCTATTCCCCTGAGGCATTTCTAAGCCAAGTTCCTGCCCTCTGATCCCTATAGCAGATGGGGGACCCCCACCCAAAGGGAGCATCATACCTATTTGCTGGACTTCAAGCTGTGAGGTTAGGGATAGGATTATATAATCTATAGAAAGGAAAATTTAAAGATATTACTTCCCTTTGATGGTTTTGGTATAGTATGCTCTGCTTTGTCTGGGAATTACAGCTAACCTACCTGGCCATGAGGATTGTGATGAAGTATTTTGCAGTTTTAAATTCTAGTCCTTCAGTGACAAGGGCAATCTCTTCTCTCTCCTTTAAAAAAATACTCCCTGCAGGACAAAAGAGAGAAGAAAAAGAAAGCCAATTTCCCCCTCTATCAAGCATAAAGAGAGGTGGATACAATGTATAGGAAAAGATATAGTGAGAAAATCTCCTTTTAGGATCATAGGATTTTAAAGCTGGAAGTTGGAGTACAGGTCTAATCCAGCCTTCCTCATTTTTCTGATGAGGAGACAATTGAAGTGACTTGGCCAAGATCCCACAGCTTTGAAATTATTGCCTCTTCCCCCCCATTTATTTATTTAAGAATAGTTGGGCCATACTACATCACCAAAAGTCAATTCCTCTGGTGGCTTGGATCCAGGGAAGGAACTTGGGGTAGAACTGAAGAATTATATTACCAATGGGGCAGGGTAAGCTCTTTGTGTGATGTAGACTACTTTTAACCTCCATGCACTATAAACCTTTGTTGTACCCTTGATAGTTCAGTAACCAAATAAAGCACTATAAACCTTTGTTGTACCCTTGATAGTTCAGTAACCAAATAAAGCTCAATTTTAAAGGCAGTTAGGATCCTGCATCTCTTAAAACAAAGGACTATCAACATACTTGGAGGTACCAAGATACAATGGAAAGGGTTCTGGATTTGAAGTTCAGAGAACTAGGGTTTGAATTCTGAGTATAGCTGTATCACCTTTAACCTTAAATTATTTAATCTTTCTAGGCCTCAGTTTTCCTCAAATAAAAGTAAAGAGTTGGGCTAGATAGCTTTTACATTCCCTTCCAGCTATAAATATCTGATCCTATGAAAACATTTCTCCCCTTCCTTTATTTTGCTCATCTTCCTTTATCCTAACACAGTTAAAAGTAAACTTCCTGCCTGATCCAAATCTAAATTTAAAGCTAAAAATTTTCTCTGTTAGCTGACAATATTAGTAAAGAGACATTTATAAGGAAAGAATCCTTTATCTCCATGAGTGTATAAATGCTATCAATTACTTTTAAGGAGAAGTAGGGTTAATTCTGTCTCTCCTGCCTCCTGTATCTATTTTGGTTCTCAGCCAGGAAAGATTGACATAGCCTATCCCTTGCCCTAGTGTAGATTTAGTATGAAACTTTCTGAGACATCAATCTCTAATAGCATAAATATTGTCGCATAGAAAAATTAACTGTTATCTCTGTCAATCTTAATTCATTTGTTTTTATGGGCAAAAGGTCTATTTTCCTTTCAAAGAAGAGACACTAGGATTTCATTGGCTTACTGGGGAGAAGTATCCTATTACAGATTGTGCTGTGCTGCCTTCTCAACCAATCAGAGAATGCCAGTTATCTTTCTCTTACTAGTGGAGTGAAAAGAGTACCTTAGTGCTATCAAATATGGTCTGATTCTTGTATATCTACAGAATGATCTGAGCTCTGGGATCTAAGGTGTCAGGCTTCACTTTAACTAACCCAGATTGCAATGCATTTCTATGGCCTCTTTTGTTACATCATTTTCTCTAGTTTAAAGACCAGGCAGCAACCTTGATATATTTTTATTCATTTTATCAGCCACTTAACAAATATTTGCTGAGCTTTAACTGTGTACAAGACATTTAAAAACACGATTTGTAAAATTTCCATTTGTGGGCAACTTTTTGGAAAAATATGTTTATTACAAAGTTTAACAATCAAAAAGTATAGTGTTGCATAGTGTATGGAGATCCAGCCTTGAAGTCAGAAAAACCTGAATTTGTGTTCACCTCTGCTATGTAATGACTGTATGAGTAGGGGCAAATCACTTATCTCCCAATGCCCCAAGCAGCTTTTTAAAACTGTTGCAGAAAAAGGTGCTTATCTTCACTGGGACCCCCATTGATGAAATTATGGTCTGGCCAGGGAATAAAAAATAAAGAAATAAAACTATAGAAAAGCTTTGAGAAACTCAATGGTACAGCACAGTTTTCATCTTCCTAAAAACCTCTCAAAGACTTTCATAATCTAAATTATAAGATAGGCATGAAGCCACAACTTACTCTTCTGCAGAGTGAGTAAAAGACCTGGGTGCTGCTCTTGTTGGGGGTGAGGGGAAGAATCCAGTTCTTTTTTTTTTTCTGGATTCGAAGAAGCTTAGTTGTTATTTCCTTGTGCTTTCAGGACCTGAGGTGGAGGTTCTAGCTGCAATCTATGTCCCTTTCTGGAAGATATAAGTATCTGAGAAGGCACCTAGGAGGCCAATGATATTCTGCACCTAGAAATCCCTGAGTAGACTCCAGTAGCTTGGGATTTTTGAAGATACTTGGCTTTCCAGGGAAGGAAGGAGGGAGAGTAAGAGGGAAACAGTGCTAAGGTATTCAATGATGACATTCCCTTTGTGAGCTATGTTGGAATACAGAAAAGATCTTTTGTCATTTCCTCTTGAGCCTCAACTCATTTTTAAAATCAGGTCCTCCTTGCCATTTCAGGTTCTTACAACTTGCCTGGTATTTGACCAAATCCCTTAACTAAATCACTTTGAAGGTGGGAACATATACCTCTGGGAATAAAACCAAATCAATGGCTCTACCTACGGCCCTTTAAAAAAAATAAACACTCCTAATCATTATCATAATTACATGAAGTGATCAAATTGAAAGACAGATCCATGTCACCTACTGCTGTCACAAGGTGAAAAAAGGAGGAGTTACGTGCAGAAAAAGTGCCATGAAGAAAACCATGGCAACCAGCTTCTAAGGGCACAATTGAGAGTTGAGAGGCCAGAAGCAAGAAGGGAGTGGGGGTTGACAGGTCCAATGGGTACGTCAGTTTTCCTACAGTAAACCATCACCTCTGGAATTCTAGCAGTCTCTTTACCACCACCCTCAAAGTGTCCCTTAAGTAGGAACTATTAGGACCTGGGAAGAAGGTTCTTTTTTTTTTTAAAGGCAATTGGGCTTAAATGACTTGCCCAAGGTCAAACAGCTAGCCAGATTTGAGCTCAGGTCTTCCTGATTTCAGGGCCAGTGCTCT